ACTGAGCCACCCAGGCGCCCTGTATTGTTGTTACTTAAAGTAATTATTCTCATGAATCCCTTGCCCATCCTTGCATCTAAACTAGCTGTAAGTGAAAAGAGAGGACACAGATCTTTAAAAAACAGTAGACACTAGAGCTGCATCTTTTCATGTTATTGCTCCAGTCTGACTTACTTTGTACTAGGCAGATATACTTTCATTGAAAATATATGGCAAAGATTTAATTTAGAAACAATAAAAAGAGACCAGTAATACACTAAGTAAGAATGGTTTAAATGCTGGATCTTGTTGATCGCTTATCCCTGGAGGACATTTTGGCAGATGGTTGTATTTTTTCAAATGGACACAAAGTTGAGAGTTGATCAGTGGAATTTGCCATATCTCTGTAGTGAGTTAGAGTCAGCGTTCCACGTTGATAATAGTGATTGCTTCAGATAATAAAATGAGCCCCATACCAGCAGCTCTTACATTAGAATGTTTTATTCCTAAGTCAATTTAAAGTCATTCTTAGAAAGTGAAAACTCAAACCCTAAGAATTAAAGGAAAAGGAGGGGAAAATGCCTCATTTTTAAAGTCATGTTTGTGTTTTTTCCTCTAGATCATTTTCATGAATTGTATAAAGTAACTCTTCTCCCAAACCAGACTCACTATGTTATTCCAAAAGGTGAATGCCTGCCTTATTTCAGCTTTGCAGAAATAGCCAAAAGAGGAATCGAAGGCGCCTATAGTGACAATCCAATAATTCGACATGCCTCTATTGCCAATAAGTGGAAAACCATCCACCTCATAATGCACAGTGGAATGAATGCAACCACAATACATTTTAATCTCACATTTCAAAATACAAACGACGAAGAGTTCAAAATCCAGATAACAGTAGAGGTTGACACAAGAGAGGAACCCAAAGTGAATTCTACGACCCAGAAGTCTTACCAAAATTTGGTTAGCCCCACAACACTTCTTCCAGAGGCGGAAATACTGTTTGAGGATATTCCTGAAGAAAAACGCTTTCCAAAATTCAAGAGACATGATGTTAACACAACAGGAAGATTCCAAGTGGAGGTGAAAATTCCCCTGGTAAATACTTCACTCCTTCCCAAAGAGGCCCAGTTGAGTCTCAGTAACTTGGATTTGCAACTAGAACGTGGAGACATCACTGTGAAAGGATACAACCTGTCCAAGTCAGCCTTGCTGAGATCATTTCTGAGTAACTTACCAGATACCGAAGTAAAAATAAATCAAGCTGTAATAACAGATGAAAGAAATGACAGTGTAGAGGCCCCACTGGAAAAACAGGTTCACAAAAGCATCTTGCCGAATAGCTTGGGAACATCTGAAAGATTACAGAGGTCGACTTTTCCAGCAGTGACAATGAAAGTGAATGGTCACTACCAGAGTCAGAATCCACCCCCGGACTTAGAAATCGAAGAAAAATTTAAATCTGAAATTCTGACCCAAAAAGTAAGAGGCGGAAGCATGTCAACAGAAAAACTCTCATCTCGGATTGTTCCACTGGAAAAGCAGATTACAAAAGAAAAGAAAATCACAGGGAAAGAACAAGAGAAAAACAGAATGGAGGAAAATGCAAAAAACTACATAGATAATAATGAAGTACTACCTGGAAGAAAACTGCAGCATTATACAGACAGTTACCTGGGCTTTTTGCCATGGGAGAAAAAGAAGTATTTCCAAGATCTTCTTGATGTAAGTTACATCCAGCTTTATTCTTTCCCATGCTCCGGGAAAATAAATAACCTTATAAGTAAGTGATAATTATATAATAATAGGTACCATTTATTCGGGACTTTCTGTGTCAGTCATTAAACTAAATGCTTTTTCTTACATGGTTTATTGCCCTAATACCCCTAACAATAAAAATACCTTATAAGGTTATCTACTATCATGATCCCCATGTCACAATTTAGGAAACAGCCTTAGTGTGAATGAGTAAGGGAGTTAGACAGGGCCATGCCCTGAGTAAGTAATAGAACAGGAGTGGTATCTTATCTTCACTTGGCATGTTGTGATTTCAAAAAATGCTTTTGCATATGCTGTGTGAATCAGATCTGATTATTTTTCCAATTTTACTGATGAAAAAAACCCCAAGGTGCAAATAAATTAATTAGCTTCCAGTGTGAGCCAAGCCTCAGGGTTCAAGTGCTCACTCACCCTCCTGGACCACGGTCTCCATGGTGCCATGGTGTCATCTCCTCATCTGCCAAGTGCTATCACTGTGTTCACTGCAGGGAGCACTATTAGAACACAGCTTTTGGAAACTCAAAGGGCAAGCTGGGAGGACAGATTTGTGGGTAAATAATTGCAGCAACGTGATAGGTGTCTCCTGAGGTATGAGCACAGAGTCCAAAAGGAAAATTTCTTAACTTTGCCTAGGGGTATTGGGGAAGGCATCCATGAAGAAGTATCCTGTGAGCTGACCTTTGAAGGGTTTGTAGGAGTTGACAGACCAAGAAAAACCCTGTGGCTGAGGCTGGATCATGAACAGAGTGTAGCCATGAGTAGGTGTCAGACTGGGAAAAAAGAGGTTGATGAGGGGAACTGACTTATTGCATTGTCTTTGGAAAGTATCTTATCCCTGATACAGTAGTCATTTACCAATTGTTGAGTGAGGGATTGCAAAGTTCTTGCCTGTGATGATTTCCTCTCTTCCCCCTTTCATTACTTACTTTAAATTACAAAAGTATTACAGACTAGTGGCAAAAATTGCAAGCAATCCAGAAAATATACAATAAAAAAGGAAAAGATCTCCCTCCTTCCTTCATCTTCCTACTTGAAATAATAGCTTGGCGGGTATTTTTCCAGTATTTTATATAGTTATGCAAACACACAAACTATATAAATACGTGTTTTGCAACAGGTAAATTGCTCTGTGGTTGCCTCTTGATCTAGTAGTATGTAAGCAAACCCATGCTAGTGTTTGTGTTTTTTAAGAGCTGTGTTTGTTTTGCAATTACAAATAGTGTTGCAATAAATATTCCTGTACATATAGCTTACTCTTGAGAAGTTTTTACTTCTGTAGGTAGAATTGCTAGGTTAAAGTTAAATTTAACTGTGTCCTTCTAGAATGCCATACCACTTCGTACTTACACAGTGTGTAAGAGTGCTTGTTTCTCCACAGGCTAATCAACAATAGTATCAATCTATATTTTTTCACCAGATTGAGAAGCAAAAATATTTCATCTTTGTAAAGTGTGTTCATATATTCTGCTAATATTCTTTGCCCATTCACTCAGTTTTGCCTCTTATTGGTTTTGACAGGGTTCTTTACATTTTATAATGTTAACACTATTTTTTGGTCCTTGTTCAGAACTCAAGTGCTTACTGCTTTGATGTCACCAGTAGAAATAACTTGAAATTGAAAGTGCTATCAAATTAATTTATTTATTTTTATTTTTAAAGTAAGCTCCGATGCGGGGCCTGAACTTAACAACCCTGAGATCAAGATCAAGAGTCAGATGTTCAACCAGTTGAACCACCCAGGCGCCCCTCTATCAAACTTTTTAATTTTCTAAATACTGCATTGAATTGGCTATGAAATTTCATGCTCGGTGACTAGTCCTTGAAGAATACCCTGTAAATAGACCTCCATTACACAACTGTTGTTCACAAGCCTATGTTGGTGATACTTTCACTGAAGTCCAGTTTAGTCCTGCTCTTAGGATTCGTAAAGTGACCCGTTAGTGCTCATTTCATTTGCCACAGTTAGTGCCTCGTTATATAAACTAGTACTTATTTCTTGCTAACAAAGTACACTTGTGCACTAAACATAATGCTGTGTTACATGGAATTCTCTTTTCAGGAAGAAGAGTCATTGAAGACACAGCTGGCATACTACACTGATAGCAGACACACTGGAAGGCAACTGAAAGATACATTTGCAGATTCCCTGCGATATGTAAATAAAATTCTAAACAGCAAGTTTGGATTCACATCTCGGAAAGTCCCTGCACACATGCCTCACATGATTGACCGAATCGTTATGCAAGAACTTCAAGATATGTAAGTCTTGCTTATTGTTTGAGTTGCTTGCACGTGCTCAGAGCTGTCTGCTTAAAATGGCCATCTTTGCTGTGCTTGATGTAAGGCTCTAACACTTGGCAACTGATATGTTGAAGGTATCAGCTAAGTAAGTGGGAAAGAAAAAGATTCTAACTCCGCAAATGTTGGAATATATTTGAATGTAGATTAATGTCTATATTTTAAATATCCAGAGCTCACTATATGTTTGGACAGGTTCCCTGAAGAATTTGACAAGACGTCATTTCACAAAGTGCGCCATTCTGAGGATATGCAGTTTGCCTTTTCGTATTTTTATTATCTCATGAGTGCCGTTCAGCCACTGAATATTTCTCAAGTTTTTGATGAAGTTGATACAGACCAATCTGGTGTCTTATCTGACAGAGAAATCCGAACACTGGCTACCAGAATTCATGACCTGCCTTTAAGTTTGCAGGTGTTGTATTTTTTTTCTCCTAAACCTTCTCTTTCACATATTTCATTGTAATGCAAGTAAAAGTAATTCTTAATATTTAATGGAGGTATTCACAACTAGTCCATTTTTAGTGCCAGAACTAAAACCACATTTGAGGTTCATATTTTATGAGATTACATTTTAGACTTTAAGTAGGCATTGCTATTGTATTATCTGGAGAAGAGCCAGACCATCCCTGCATATAAGATTCTCGTGACAGGTTCATTCAGGAGCTTCAGGTGGCCCACTGGAGCTGTGTCTCAGCCAGGCCTGGGTTGTTGCACAACCTTGGTCACAGCGTCCTGTAGTCCCAGGAGTAGGAGACTAATTAATGGAGAGTGCCAAGATAAATCTAACTGCAGGACCTCCCATCTGGGGATCCCCCTGACCGTCTTGGGTAATAGTGCCTCATAGTCCAATATGTTCTACTTCGAGATGAAGATGAAATATTTGTGTTTGTATTATCCCATTCGGTTCTTTTTGGCGTGTTTTTGTTTTAAGAATCATATAGTCAAACTCCCTTTGAAGATAGCATTTAAAGAAATTTTGGAGACTTTTACATAATTTTTATTTTTAAAACCACAGTTATTACTTACACATATAAGGTTTATCCTTTTATTTTGCTTTGTTAGGATTTAACAGGTTTGGAACACATGCTAATAAATTGCTCAAAAATGCTCCCTGCTAATATCACTCGGCTGAACAGTGTTCCACCAACTCAGGAAGCATACTATGATCCCAATCTGGTAAGTAGCATGAGTTCCTTTGTGTAAAAAGGAAGTATATCCTTATCAGGTATTATTTATACCAGTTTTGTATAGCATTTCAAACAGTAGAAGCAGGTTCTATATTTATATCTTTGGTAGACAGCAGAAGTCCAGATAATCCAGAATCATTTATATCTTTTCTTTTCTCCTGTCTAGTGAATGTTAAGCTAATATTGAGATTAGTTGCTAATATTCTATAACCAGACATCTGTTCACTAAGGATAGCAGAGGATAGCCAATGAGAATACTTCAGAGAGTTTTGCTGGTGGCACGGCCTATGTACACTCTTACTCAAGACTTCTCTTTCCCCCCATCTGTACTTCCATATCTGTCCTTCACTGTCTTTTAGCTTCTCCTTTTTTATCTTTCTTATAAACTTTGGTTCCTAGTAAGACTTTACAGTTACCAAGCCCCTGCATTTACGTAGAACTGCAGTGTGTTCTTTCCTAAGGAAGGTGATTTACACATAGAAAACAGTTATTCTTCTTGCCCTGTTATAGGCATGATGAAAGATTATTGAGATTTTAGTTTTCTTTTGAAATGCATACATTTTCCTTCATTAGCAAAATATTTTAGTATTTGCCAGATGTCTGGCATGAGATTTAGAATCAGCAAATATTCTTTGTTAAGAATTAAGTAAAGGCTGCTTGCTAATGGTAGTAAGTTAGTTTTGAGGCTCATACAAATAAACTACTTGGAGCATGAGTACTAGTTATACTAACAACATTAGTTAACATGACTCGAGTGAACTCTTAGCAAGGTGTTGGCTTCATTACTGTAATTAACTGTGATTATACCTATGATAAAGTATTTCCTAATTAGATTAAGAATGACAAGTTAGCTTATGAGTATGACATAGACTAGTTCATTACAATTTATGTTAGAAATTTCTTTCTGAAAAAAATTCTCCCAGTAACTTTTGAGGCTATTTTAATAGACAGTGTAATGTGTGATTAAAATAAAAATTTATTTACAAAAACAGGCAATTAGCCTGCAGGCCATACCATGCCAATTTGATTTTTTCAAATACTGCATTAAAGTATTTGTCTTGATCACGGATTCTTTGGTCCCCCTTAAATTTTGCACAGAGGTCAGTGCTTCACCTGCCCTACCCTAGTCTTGGCCTGATGCAATGTTTGTATTTTCTCATAGCCACCAGTCACTAAGAGTCTAGTAACCAACTGTAAACCAGTAACTGATAAAATCCACAAAGCATATAAGGACAAAAACAAATATAGGTAAGTAGTACATACATTTTCTCTGTTTAGTTTAAGAATAACTGTAGGAGTCTGGCATTTTCATAATTTTACAATAGTTTCTCTCTTAAACCTTCTTTTAAAATTTATGTGAGATCGTTTTCTTTAGTAATACCAAAAGAGTAAGTCATTCTCAGGATATTGACTGTTAAAGTTTTATAAAATACTTTGCTTATTGAAATTCTGTTTTTATTTCCACATAAATATTTACACTCCTTAAATATGTTTTGATAATTAGGTTTGAAATCATGGGAGAAGAAGAAATTGCTTTTAAAATGATTCGTACCAACGTTTCTCATGTGGTTGGCCAGTTGGATGATATAAGAAAAAACCCCAGGTACTTTTTTCTTAACCAATAAACTTTTTTGAGTGCTTTTAGGTTCACGGCAAAATTGAACAGAAAATACAGAGAACTCCCATAACTTTAAAAAATGATTTTTTTTTTTTAAAGATTTTATTTATTTGAGAGAGAGAGCGCGCGAGCGCACAAGCCAGTGGGGGAGGGGGAGAGGCAGAGGGAGAAGCAGACTCCCCGCTGAGTAGGGAGCCCGATGCAGGGCTCGATCCCAGGGTCCCGGGATTATGACCTGAGCTGAAGGCTGACACTTAACTGACTGAGCCACCCAGGCACCCCAAAAAATGATCTTTAATCATGCAAATAAACATGAAAAAAGGCAGTGAGACTCAAGAGAAGGAAGTGGCTTATTTTGTTTGGAGCAGGTGGAATGCCTAGTGGTGAGGTAGTGTTTGAGCTAGAGATAGGAGTTGTGAGTTTAGATAGGGTTCCCCTATGCACAGGGACTAGCACAGACCTCTAAGAATCTGGTGACATGAGCTGTTCAGTGAGGCCAAGGGGTGGACTCCATCACAGGGAGTGGGGCCAGATTCTCATAGCATTTCTAAGAAATGGAAGTTCTTAGAAAGTTTCTAAGAAACTTCCAGAAAAGTTGTTTTGGTGGTTAGACTTTGCAATTCAAAGTTCAGATTAGCTTCTCAGGAAAAAAAAATGCTCTCACAAATGTGAAAATTGATCCCAGCCTTGGGACTGAATAAATGTTCAGGTTTATATAAGTCTTGAAAACTTCCAGCCTGGTCCCCTAACAGTTGCCTTGGATAGTTTGATAAAATTAGTCAAAATCTGCATTTTTGAGTTTTGAACTTTAGTGGGAAAATGATATTTCATCAGTTTCCTGGAAAAAAAGACCTTGGCATGTAAAAATTGAATGTTTTTCATCTGAGTCTTTTAAAGATTTTTTAAAAATTTCTTTATTTGAGAGAGAGAAAGCAAGACAGCATGAGCAGGGTGAGGGACAGAGGTAGAAGCAGACTCCCTGCTGAGTAGGGAGCCCCATGCGGAGCTCGATCCTGGGACTCTGGGATAGGGACCTGAACCAAAGACAGATGCTTAACCGACTGAGCCACTCAGGCACCCCTCATCTGAGTCTTTAAATGCTTTTGTAAGTCTTCAGTTTCACCTCATTTAAATTATGATTTTAATTATAAATGAGCAGAGATGTAAAATTTCTAGACAGGTAGAGCCATGGTATTTTTTTTCTAAAAATATCATTCCTGTTGTGGCCGGGGGGGGCAGAAATTGGAAATTTAAGATAAATGGAAACATCTTTAATGCTTATTTAGTGTATTCAGTAAAAGACTTTATTTCCTATAAAATAACAACTATTTCCCACAAGCCAAGTAAACAGTAAGCCATTATGATTAACCTTTTTTTTTTAAGATTTTATTTGTCAGAGAGAGTGCACAAGAAGGGGGAGTGGCAGGCAGAGGGAGAAGCAGGCTCCCTGCCAAGCAGGGAGCCCGATGTGTGACTCGATCCCAGGACCCTGGGATCATGACCTGAGCTGAAGGCAGATGCTTAACCAACTGAGCCACCCAGGCGTCCCAGCCATTATGATTAATAATCACTCAGGTTGTAGCTCTCTGTATACCTGCTGTTCCCTATGACTGGAATGCCCTGCCCTAATTTTTTAAAATAACTTTAAAACCAATTTCAGTACTTGCTTTTTGCTTCCCCATTTTGTTGATGTGCCCTCCCAGTCATTTTGTTGTATGTAGGAATACCATGTGAGAATTTATAGTTTTCAGTTGTGCCTTATACCTTTATGTCTTTGTGCCAGTTTGAAAGTTTTGGGGTGAGAGAATTCATAGACCTTCATGGTACTTAAATGGACAGGGACTTACTAAAAGGACACATGGTAAGCCAGGCTTAGTATCTGCCAGGCCCAGATATCTCCTGTGACTTCAAACAGATCTTAATTTTTAACTCTTACTTGTTTTACTTTTATGGGTGCTCATTTTAAGTCAGGAGTGGAAAACCAGTGTTGTGACTGAAGCTTTAAGGACAGGTCTGCCCCCATTAACAAGGAGTCTGGACTAGGCAGAATCCAGACTTTGCTTTTCCCTCAGGCCTATTCCTCTCTGCTGCCCTCCTGCTTTTGTTGGCTTCTTCTTCAGGCTGGAGATAGTTCTAGATGTCCCTGCAGATGGAGCTACGCTCTGAGACAAAGGGATTGCCCCTTTGTATGTACGGTGTGCTGTCCCCCCATTCTTTCTTTTTCTTTTTTTTTTTTTTTTAAGATTTTATTTATTTGAGACAGAAGAGAGAGCTCGTAGGGGGGATGGGGGGGTGCAGAGGGACAAGTATACTCCCCACTGAGCACGGACCCCCAACCCCATGAGGGGCTCCATCCCATGACCCTGAGATCATGACCTGACCAGAAATCAAGAGTCGGACACTTAACCGACTTAGCCACCCAGGTGCCCCTGTCCCCCCATTCTTACATCAGTTACTGTGAAGAGGATTCACATACACAGAAGCTGTCTCTGGGCTTGCCTCCCACTGAGTCAGCTCTTGGGGAGAGAAATACTGAGCAAAATGAGAATTCTCTCTGGAAGAAACGGGGCAAAACCCTGCTAGGCACCCAGCAGGGTCTAATTTAGCTATTGTCCACACACACCCTTTGTCTCATGCATCTACTTTCTTAATTTTTCCCAACGTTATGAAAAATTTTGAAGATACAGAAAAATTGAAAAAAATAGTACAATAAATCCCATAAAAACCCAGATTTTAAAATGTCAGTGTTTGATCATATTTGCTTGATTTACTTATACACACACACACACACACACACACGGGTTTTGTTTTCATTATTTTGTTGTTGTTGTTTGCCGAACCATTTGAAAATTCGTTCCAGACATCCATACATTTTACCCCTAATTATTCTAGTACGTATCTTCTAAAACAAAATCATTCTCCTTTATACTGAAGACAGTTAACACATACCTGAGAACCTTAACATTGATTAATGCCATCTAACAGATAATCTATATTCAAATTTCCCTAGTTGCCTCCAAATGTCCTTTATAGCTTTTTTTTTTTTTTTAAATGCAGGATACAGTCAAGGCTCATGCATTCTATTTGGTTGATATATCTCTTTAGTATCCTTTAAAGCAGTCCCCAAGTTTAGAGAGTAGAGAGGATAATGAATTTTCACCCATCACTCATCTTCAATAAGAAGTGATTTAAAATGGTTGTTCTTTCATCTAAACACATCCACTCCTTTACTACCACTTCCTGATTATTTTTATGTAAACCTTGGACATTGTATCATTTTTATCTCTAGATTTTTAAAATATATTTCTCTAAATTATAACAACTTTTTTAAAATAACCACCATATCATTATTTATTCCTTAATATGATAAACCATCTGGTCAATGTACACATTTCCCCAGTTGTCTTTTCTAAACATTTATGTTTTTTAGGTTTATTGGTTTGAAGTGGTATCAAGTAAATTCACTGCAGTTACGTCTATCTATAGGTTTTCCCTCAACCTCCCTTTTTTTTTTTTTTAAAGATTTTATTTATTTATTTATTAAAGAGCGAGCGAGAGAGAAACAGCATGAGAGGGGGGAGGGTCAGAGGGAGAAGCGGGCTCCCTGCTGAGCCGGGAGCCCAATGCGGGACTCGATCCCGGGACTCCAGGATCATGACCTGAGCCGAAGGCAGTCGCTCAACCGAGTGAGCCACCCAGGCGCCCCTCAACCTCCCTTTTTTAACCATATAATTTTGTTATGTGTATGAAGAAATTAAATTATATATTCTGTATATTCCCTATACTTTGGACTACTTTGATTGTGTCTCAGTTGTTTAACATGTTCCCCTGTCTATTTCCTATAAATTGGTAGTTGGATCTGAGGGCTTTATTAGATTTAAGTTTGTTGAGTTTTTGTCTGTTTGTTTTAAATTTTAGCCATGTACTTCAAAAGTGGTGTTAGCCCTGCCTACTGTTTTAATGGGCCCTCAGTTCAGTGACTTTGCCTTGAAGGGAACTTGAAACAGTAGGGAAGCATGACTGTCATCTGCTTTTTGCCAGAACTCTAGCACCTTGGTTGGAGACATATTAAAGAAAAGTCATCAAACTCATAGAATTTATAGCTGTAAGGCACCATCTTTATCTCACTTATCTACATCACTATTCTTAGTAATATAATAGAACTTGGTTTTAGGTGTTTATTAATTTCTCCCTTGGCTGCCAGCAAAATACTCTAGTCAGTGAACTGTATTTATTAAACTCTTAATTGGGGACATGCTAAACAGAAATCATTAAATTAATTTATTCCAACAGCTAGAAGGCACTTTTAAGATTATCTTCCCTAGTTCTCTTTGTTTACAGGTGAGAAAAATCCAAAGAAAAATTTTACAGAACATTCTTTCCCCAGAGAATCGTATCAGCAAATATAACAACTTGGAACATGAGCCCATTTAAAATATATCTGGAATCTACATTTCTTGTTTATTGGGTCAAGATCATTTTCACAATAACCAATAACCCTGGATCTCTATTTTTCTAGGAAGTTTGTTTGCCTGAATGACAACATAGACCACAATCATAAAGATGCCCAGACAGTGAAAGCTGTTCTCAGGGACTTCTATGAATCCATGTTCCCCATACCATCCCAGTTTGAGCTGCCAAGAGAATATCGAAACCGTTTCCTTCACATGCATGAGCTGCAGGAGTGGTAAGGTCTCATGTTCACGTGTGTGTGTGTGTTTAAAAGTGATGAAATTCCTTTAATGTGTTATTTAATAATTACTTTGTAAAAATACACTTAGAAGTTTTTATTGTGCTTATTGGCCAAGCACATCCATTGAGTCTCATTCACTGCCATCAGAGTAGCTACCTTGTTTCTTGAGTACCTGTTATATATATGGCCGGAGAACATAGTAACAGAAGCTGCATGATTTGCTCAAGGTGAAGTACCTGGTAAGTGGTAAATCCAGCCTGATTTCCAGCCTTCCCTGTGTTCCACTGTAATCCAAAGCTGCTTTATAGTGTTTCCTTCATGTCTTATTTTACTACTATTTACCCCATGCCAGGTGCTGGGAATATATAGATGAAAGGAGTATGGTACCAGGCTCTGAGGCACTCAAGTCTCTTCAGAGAAACAGGCTGCAGGCAAACAGTTATGATATCAAGTGCTCTGGCAGGGTTTACTGCTACTGGAGTATGAATGAGGGAGCAGCTAATTCTATTAGGGGAAGGCAACATTTGGACTTGGTTTTGAATTATGAAAAGGGCTTTTCCAGGTAGGAAAGAGCATTCCTGGTAGAAGAAATGGCATGTACAAGGCACAGGGCTGTAAAAGAGAGTGTGTGGAGAAAGGAGAGATTGTGAAGAGCTGTATCTGAATTAGACTTTTTTTTTAGAGAATGGGGTTCCCCAAGAGAAGTTTTTTTTTAGATGTTTGTAGTGATCAGACTTCATGATTTGGAAAGATAACTAACAGTATGGAGTTGGACTGGCGAGACAGTGTTGTCTGGTAACTGGAGGCAAGGGAGACAAGTACTAAGCATTTCAGTAGCTCTGAAACAGGGTGTGAGCCAAGGACACAGCTCAGGGAATAAAGAGAAAGCAGTAGACAGAATTGGGAGAGATTGTAGAGAGGAAATTAACAACCTTGGCAACTAGAACTCTTTGGTGTCTTGGAGTTGGGTAAATGAGCTAATTAACATTTATATTGCTAATAGCTATGTATTTTTATTTTCAGAAGGAGTTATTACTAATTTGTGGGTGTTATCTTTTAGAAATGGTTTCTCATCATTTTCACTTTCCTTTAGCTCAGAGGAAAAAGATCTTTGGGTGGTTTCAAGTGTTAACTCCCCAAATCCAGTTTGTGACTAAATTTATCTTCAAGGGCCCGATTGAATAAGAAAGGAGTGGGCTTAAGAGTAGTTTGAGAGGACTTTGATTTCTGTGTTATACAAATAAATTAGGTGTAACTCCCTGACTGGGGGGGGGGGCTTCATTTTCTTCATCCTGCTCAGCTTCTGTGCCCTCTCTCACTGCTGGGCCACCACCACCACCCTGTCTTCCAGAAATTTTACTTTTTCTCTTTCCTTTCATGACACTGTGCTTGAGTCCCCTGTCACCTTTCTCTGCTTTCCCAATAGGCTTTCTTCCTGTTTCCCTTCCTTGGGTATAACACTTTCTACACTGCACAGCAGTCTGTCTGGTGTGCTGGTCTCTCCTGATAAGACTGTAAGCCCTCTTCAGGGGCAGAGATGGTGTCTTACTCTTCTCTGAGTCCACAGTGCCTTTCTAGTACATAGTAGGTGCTCAGTGGATGAAGGGCTGAGGGAACCTCCAACTATTAAAAGTTTCTCTGGTTGCTGGGACAGCTTAGCTGTATTACAACCTGTGGCTTCTTAGCTCTTTAAATTACACATCGATTCTGAATGACACCATAGACATTAGAACTAACTGTGCTGGTTGTGATCCTATTAAGAGACATAGGAAATTCAGGAGGAAAATAGAGGTACCATTATCAATATGGGACTTGAAATAGAGACATCCACTACAGGACAAGCTGTAAATGAGAATCTGGAACTCAGCACAGAGGCCTGAATTGATAGTTATTAGAATATCTTCCAAGCCTTATGTTAAGCATATATTTAGTCTTCATAATAAATTATTTTCACATTACAGATGAGGAAACTGCTCTACTGCCTCTAACCCCAATATCCTATCATCAAGTCCAGTTGAGTCTACTCCTTAGGCTATCTCTTCTGTTGCTTGTTTTCTTTCATTCTCACTGGCCTTCATTATGTTTTCATACCCAGACTAACACGACTGCCTGCCTGGTCACCTGACATGCATCCTTCAGATGGCCACCATTTTTACCCCAGTTGTCACACACACACCCACACCTGCCATTTCATACACTTTCCCACTAGAGTATTATGTCCAAACCCTATTGCATATTTTTCCAGAATACCTGCAGTTCATGCCCACCTGCCTTGCCATGGCTTTAGCTCTCTCCCTGATGCTTCTAGGCCAGACTTCAGTTCTGCAGGACTCAGCTTGCTCCTCTGACTTTGCTGATGCTCACTGCCTTACTCAGCTAAATGCTTTCATTTAAGGTCCCCCATCCCGCTTCAAGGCTTAAATGAAATGTTACCAAATCTGAGGTGCTTTCCTCATTTCTCTGTTTTTCCACAAGACTTTGCTTTTGATAGTACATTTTTTTGGTCCATCTTGTGTGATGGCTAGTCATCTGCATGTCATTAACTTCCCAGGCTTATACACACTTTAGAGCAAGAACTTTTTTTTTTTAAGATTTTTATTTATTTATTTGACAGAGAGAGACACCGTGAGAGAGGGAACACAAGCAGGGGGAGCGGCAGGGGGAGAAGCAGGCTTCCGGCTGAGCAGGGAGCCCCATGTGGGGCTTGATCCCCGGACTCTGGGATCAGTCATGACCTGAGCCGAAGGCAGACGCTTAATGACTGAGCCACCCAGGCGCCCCTAGGGCAAGAACTTCTTGTTCATCGTCTGTATCCACAGGAAATGTTGATTAAGTGACTATGAAGAAATGGATATGAATGAAAGTGTACTTTTGTTTAAATGCTAAAAGTAATTTTCGTTTGAAGTCCTCTCCTCTGCCTGGGTAGCTTTTACAATTCAAATATAATATTTACTATGACATAATGAAAAATCTAATCTCATGTTGGAAATGTACATTGTATGAACATTTTCAAATTGCCTCCAGACAGTGTTTTTGTGTTTCACGACTTTTTGCTACACTAGTATATAAATAATTCTAATATAGTAGAACTATGCACAGAATTTACATATTTGCTTTCTTCTTTCTCTGAACAGGAGAGCATATCGAGACAAATTGAAGTTTTGGACTCACTGTGTACTGGCAACATTGATTATGTTTACTATATTCTCATTTTTTGCTGAACAGGTAAGTCTTAAATATTTTATGTGGGGATCAAACATTATTTTTTAGTATAAGAGTATCTGATTCTTTAGAAAGTGATATAAATTCACAAGAAAATTTTAATTTATTCTTTTGACTTCTAACTCAGGTGTCGATATGTCAAACATATTTCATAATGTTCAGGCAGCAAACATAATAGTCTTTTATTCATTAATCTTCTAGATGCACTACCAGTATTCTTTTTACCTGGAACTCAGTAGATTAACTTGTAGATGTCAAGCTAAAACTGAAAATCTCTTTAAGTATTTCCAACCAAAAACCCACCTAGAATCCTCATCTGATACTGATTTTGTATGGGTTTTCAATTTTTCTTTTCTTGTAACATTTCTAAAAGTGACTGCAGTGGCTTATCTTCAGACCTCCTACTCTTCTGTGGACAGTGCCCATTGTGCTCACATTTCTCCCAATTACATTTCCTTTGAGTTGCTGGAATCTCTCTCCATGCAGGCACATACACACAACCTCCTTCAGATAAAGTCCCAGAAGTAGAAGGGACATTTGTGAGGCAAAAAGAAAAGAATCAGAGAATCCTTATTTGGTGTAGGCATGAAATGGTCTAAAGAGAAAGGGAACGGTGTCTGGGCTGACCTGACTTAGTGGGGCAAGCAAACCTCACCTCAGCCTCCATTTGAGGTGACTGCTGAGTGGAGCCTTTTTAGCTGTCAGTTATGGGAAACTTGCACTGAGTTTACTTAAACTGAGAAGGAGGAAGAGGCTGAAGTATTGAGAACTTTAGAATAAACAGTGCCTGGGCTTCCTGCCATAATGGAAGGAAATAAGAAAATAGGAGATTGGGCAGGCAGGCAGGACTGCAATTTAATCTTCATCCACTTCCCAGCGAATATCAGTCTTCTTCTTATTGCCATTATTCCTGGCTGGTAAAACTGCCCCTGCTCTAGAACAGAGGTCCACTGAGGAACTAGGAGTCAGCAGTGTGCTGGCCTGCAACGGGGAGAAAAGGCACACTGGCTGAAGGGAGCAGCAGCTGGCAGTGGGAAGGAACAGGAGGGCCAGTCTTTTATCTGTGTCATTTATACCAGTAGAGAACAAGGAACCAGAAAGGCAAGGAAGGAGAAAAGAAGGGAAGAATAAATCCTCTCTTCTCTCTGTCCCGTTGCTCTTTACCTACTTGAATCAAATTCCTTAACCTCTACCATGCTTGCAACAAACCAGCCAACACTGCCTCTTCTTCTGCCCCAGAGTCCCAGCTCATCACTCAAACCATGGTGGCCTGTACTTGGGCAAAGCCCTGCTTCCACCCTGAGATGGAGTAGACAGTATGATCCCAAACTGAAACCATAAAGAACATATTTGTTTTTCTCACTGATGCTTTATTATAATGGCAGGCAGGTTTCCTATTTCAGATGTTTCATGGATAAACCATTTCTTTGAGAAAGAAGTGTTTGTCCAAGTTCTAAGCTAGTAATTATAAAGTAACTTTTTGCATGACAACCCATTTCATAGATTAGGTATTACCTGTATTTTCAAATGATTATTGCTATGTTTAAAGATAGGGTAGAAGTGGTGATAGGATGTTAATATGGGTTTTTGTTTTTAAAGTTCTGTCTTACATATGTAGTCCTTTTCAAATTGAGGGCAGTGTTTTAATAGGTAAATAGAGCCAGTTTCCTTCAAAAGAAAGACTTGACAAATAGGTATCTTAAAAATAAATATGCTTGGTAATCACTGTGTAAAAATCTGTAGTTATAGGTCTTTAAAAAAGTGAAGCATAGGTCAAAATCATTTTAATCCTTGTGGGTTTAATATTTTGTGGGCACATATCTAGGCATATTGACCCTATAACAAAAGTAGGTTTTATTCTGGGGAGGAATGATGGAGACTTGTTTGTTCTGTTTTTTTGCTTTTTTTTTTTTTTAATGTAGAAGACTATGGAAATGATTAAGGTCATAGGACTCAAGTTTAAAGTTTGTTAACATGGAGAATTAAAATTTCTTTTCTGTCTTTCATTATCTAGTTAATTGCACTTAAGCGGAAGATATTTCCCAGGAGGAGGATACAGAAAGAAGCTAGTCCCGATCGAATCAGGGTATAGAAGATCTTCATTTGAAAATCATCTACCTCAGCATTCACTGAGCATTTTGAAACTCAGCATCATAGAGATGTCTTCATGATGTGATGCTTAGCCAGCCTGGCCTAAAGAAGGAAAAGCATCCAGTACAATACTTGTTTTGTGGTATGAATATAGCCTACTGACCAGGAATTGTTTAACCAAGACACAGAAAACTTGTGTGTTGAGTAGCTCTGACCTGGTTTTACTTTTAAAGCATTTGCTCATGGACCCATCATTCTTTTAATGAAAAATCTGACAAGAGAGAGCTACCAAGTTCCCATAGCAACCATTGCCAACTTTCACATGAGAAGCCTAGGCCAGCTTGGGAGCCATTGCTAAGAGACCCCAGTCTTTGCATTCCAAAGCCTTTTGCTGCGGTTTTACATTTTTGTTTTTTCCATTTCCCATTTTTAAAATAAGTAGCTACTGGGGCGCCTGGGTGGCTCAGTTGGTTAAGCGACTGCCTTCGGCTCAGGTCATGATCCTGGAGTCCCGGGATCGAGTCCCGCATCGGGCTTCCTGCTCGGCGGGGAGTCTGCTGCTCCCTCTGACCTTCCTCCCTCTCATGCTCTCTATCTCTCATTCTCTCTCTCTCAAATAAAAAAAAAAAAAAAAAAATCTTAAAATAAGTAGCTACTAAGTTATCTAGTTATCCCTACTTCTGAAAATAATGAGTTGGGATATCTAAACACGTTTTTATAGATGTTATTTAAATAATGCAACAATATCACCTCCTATTGGCAATACCTAAATTATGGATTTTATTAACATTTAAGACCATAAGTGGTCAAACTACTGATGAGATCAATGACTGACATCTAAAGTACTTTGTGCTTGTTTACTTTAGCCCCTAAGAATGTGATTTCATGCAGAGGCCTAATTAAAAAGGGCTAGAGTTAAGTAGCAGAGCTACCTTCCAGATGTAATTATGTTTTGGAAATGTACATATTCAAACAGAAGTGCCTCATTTTAGAAATGAGTAGTTCTGATGGTACTGGCACATTACAGTGGTGTCTTTTTTAATACTCAGTATATTCTAGTAGCTAGCTCTTTCAACTGGTTTCATGTAATGCAGGGGTCAGCAAACTTTCTGTAAAAAGCCACATAGTAAATATTTGCAGGCCACATGTGTCTCTGTTGCATATTCCTTATTGTTTAGTTTTAGTGTTTTTTGTTTTTTTTTAACCTTTAAAACTGTCAAAAACCATGTTTAGCTTGCAGCTGTACAAAAACAGGCCACCACCTGGATTTGGCCCACAGGCCATTGTTTGCTGACCACTGGGATAGAGAATTCGTATTTTTATGTATGAGTAAGCCCTGATGTTCAGCTATGTTTTATTTATATCATTATATGGTGGATTTCTGGAGATTATATTCCACAAGTCCTTTTTGAACTCTAACAGGTATTTTAAGATCATGATCTCAACAGTATTCTTTCAATACGTATTTTGTAAAAAGAACTTGTAATGTAAATACTGTGTGCTATAATTGTTATGTATTTCAAAATGTGAAGTCTCATAAAAACAGTTTGTCTGATGCTTTGATTTTTAAATCTTTGAGGAATGAGTTTATTGTTATCCAGGTTCCACAATCACTTAAGGGTTTGTACAGTGTAGCAGCGTCTGTGCTGAACACAACTGAACATAAATGGAAAGTAATGTAAGGAGAGAGTAGTACTATAACATACTGGCGAATGTCATGTTATAGGGGGAAAATAAGTTCTAAATGGGATTTATCATATGGTAAAAGTTGGTTTCTGGGTATCATTCTAAATGTGAAGAATTTATTATAGAAAAGTTATAGAGAAATTAACATTTGGGTGTGCTGGACATTTCTATGGTTAGATGAATATAGTCCATATCTAATTTAGAGCTTAATAGGTAATAGGATAGAAAACAGAATCATAGAATATTCATAGAATCATTCCTCTAAATGATTCTGTAGTGACTCTGTAGAATCATTGGAACAGAAGAATCTCAGAAGTTGATGAGTAGTCGGATGGTTTCAAAATTTTTAAAGCCTCAGAACCATTAGTTCAAATGAAATCCTATCAAAGGCCAGTATGTAACACAGAAGAAGGAAAGCTCCTTGTCCTGCTTGACCCCAGGTGATGCCTCCAAATCCCAGGCCTGACAGGCAGAGTTTCAAAATAACTCCCTGGACTACACCCTGCATTTTATCAAGGACACCAGGGCCAGGAAGATTATGTGATTTGCCCAAGGTCTCACAGCCAGTTAGAGGCAGAGGTAGGTTGGAGCCCTGATTATGTCTCTCTTCGCATCCCCAACCAGGCCGTGCTGCCTCTCCACGACATACAGGCACAAGCGGGCGAAGAGCATACTCTCTGAAGTCAGACTTCTGGGGTTTGAGTCCAAGATCCTGCACATTGTTTGCTACAATTTGGCTTTCTCCTAAAACGTGGGAGGCAATAACTGGTGTCTACCTAATAGGCTTATGGTGATGATTAAAGGAAAGGACATATGTAATACATCTAGCACAGTGCCTGGGAAATTACTCCTGCCTGGTAATGTCAGTGGTGATGATGGTAGTGATAAAAGTTTGTATGTAAAGGATTGCTATCCAGACCAGGGGTGAGGTTTTTAGCGTAGTCATTAGGATGAAATGATTACATTGCCCTTAGCTAAGAAAGTTACACATATTCTCATTTTTTTTTAAGTGGTTTTTTTGCCTACTTTACTTCTTTGAAGTATTTTTAAAATTATTTCTACATATACAAAAAAGTATACAAAGTCTAATGAATAACAGCTCAAGGATTTAAAAGGGAAGTGTAATTATAACTGAGGTCAAATCACTTAAGGAAGAAACAGCACCAATCCCACAAAAATTCCTCCAGAGAGTAGAAAACAAAGGAACACACCATCTAACTCATCCATTGAGGTGAACACAGCCCCACACCAAAGGCTGGCACAGTTACCATAAGAGAAGAAAACGACAGGCCATCTATCTCAAGAATCCCATATGAAAACTAACAAGCCAGATTCCGATATCCTTCAAAGAAACAACTCTTCCTAGATCAAACTGAGTCTACTCCAGGAATGCAAGGTTGACCCAATATTTGAAAACCAATGCAGTTTATATCAGCAGGACTGAAAAGAAGAACTCCATGATAATCTCAATGAACCTTTCTTCAAAAAAGATTATAAAAAATTTAAAAGTAGAGTCTAGCACAATGACTTCCATCTGTTCAACAGTTATCAAGATTTTGGCACATTTGTTTGCTCTATTCTTTCTCTTTGTTGATGTATTTTAAAGTAAATCCCAATTTCATGGAGATAGGAGTTCAAAGTTTCAGTTGTTAACGGGAGGTAAACGGGCTTCTTGTCAGTCTAACTGTGGTGCTCCTTCTTCCACTTGCCCTAATAAGAGCTACAGCTTAGTGAACACATTGTGTGTGCTAAATGACTTATGCTCATAATCCCATTTCATCCTCACCATATTCCCATTTTACCACTGGGGCCTAACTAGTTTTAGCGGCTTGCCCAAGATCTATAACTATTAAGTGGCAATGTCAGCTTTTGTGTGTCTCCAGAATTAACTCTTAGCCCCTAAGACACACTTGGATTGCAAGGGACAAAAAGAAAAACAATAAAGGGTGGAAGAGACAGATACCCTGCCAAGACTGTTGCTCAACACAGCCCATCCCTGCCTCCGTATGTCAGCTTTTCTCCCCACAGTGGGGTTGTGGCAGTTCCTGGCGCACATCTCTCAGAGAGGCAGGAAGCTTCTTCTCTGGCTCCAATATAGAAAACCCTGGTGGAGATGAGTTAATATGATTTGTGCCCACTTCTATAGCCACGGAGATGGAGACTTTTACCAAATGGAGGAGGTGAGGGGTGCTGGCCTGACAAAAACACTAGCTTCACAGAATAAAGTTTGGGTTAATGTGAAAGACCAAGTTCCTGGGTTAAATACTTAAGTTGAAGGCAAGCTGCCATACTTGAAAAAAATTAGAAAAATCAAATTTGTTGATTAGAACACAGTGAATCTTACAAATTTTTCATTATTGAAAAGATTCAAAGAAATGTTTGCAAAGTATCAGTACAGTACCTGTCACATAGTATGTGCTCCATAAATGGTTCACAATTACAGTTACTATGGTTCACAGTTGATCCCAAGTTGTCTCTCTGATCTTCCTTCTGCTTTTCCTCCCCTGCCTCCCCTGTCTCACCCATGGCCACACACTGCCAGCCACATTGCATTTTCCCAAACATGTTATACACTTTTATCCCTCTGTATCCTTGCAGATGCTATTCTTATTGGTTGACCTGTCTTTTCCTTGCTTACCTATCCATTAAAATCCTACTCCTACCTCAAGGTAGGAGTCCATCATTATAGTTCATCTACCAGGAAGTTTTCTAAGAGACTAACTGTATCACCTTAGTTCTTTGAAACAATGAATAAGGAAACAAGGAATGTAATATTTAGGCTTTCAAATGACTTTGACAAGATTCTACACCACTGGTTACTAAAGAAAATGAGAGGACATTATGTCAGAAATCCAGGTACTTAGAGTAAATGGGCAAATATGGAGGAGTATTAATGTGGTCTTCTAAGAATTAGCACTGAGTTCATTCCAGCATTATTTATAATAGCCGAGATATGGAAACCTAACTGTCCACTGATGGATGGATGGATAAAGATGATGTGGCATATATATATTTTGTAATTATTTTTTTCTTCCAAGTTTTTATTTAAATTCAAGTTAGTTAACATATAGTATGTTGGTTTCAGGAGTAGAATTTAGTGATTCATCACTTACATGTAACACCCAGGGCTCATCACAAGTGCCCTCCTGAATGCCCATCACCCATTTAGCCCATCCTCCCACCCACCTCCCCTTCAGCAACCCTCAGTTTGTTCTCTATAGGTAAGCAACTCTTATTGTTTGCCTTCCTCTCTGTTTTCATCTTATTTTTCCTTCCCTTCCCCTATGTTCATCTGTTTTGTTTCTTAGATTCCACATGACAGAAATCATATGGTATTTGTCTTTCTCTGACTTATTTCGCTTAGCATAA